TGTGTAAAGTCCCAGTACTACATCATCAGTTTAGGAAGAAAGGGTTACTTTCCTCTCTTCTCTTTCTTCTTCCTCGTCTTCTGGATCTAGGTGGTACTTCCTACCCACATGACCCATGACCCCAGGAGATATGCTGACCTGCACAGTGTCTCCCCAAAGGATGGGAGGTTAGGGACTTTACTCTTTTCTCTTAGACAATCCCTTGGATTACAGTAGGCAGAGCAGGGCAAGGTCCTTCAAGTTTCATTGGTGTGTTCCCAGGAGGTCACATCTCTATGTAGAAGGTTCAGGGTTCCTAACTGGAACCCTACCCCACAGGTGGCACCTTCCATGGTCTCCATCCCAACTGGCTTGGAATTAAATGAAATAATTAGTTTTTGCAACAAGTACCAACTGAGCACCTCTTTAGTGTCATGGGTACAGGGTGAGTGTCAAGTGTGGCCCTTGCTTGCTTCCACGTGAAGACAGAGTCCAATGGCATTTCATCTGACTTTGTGTCTACCACAGCATTCACATGTTAAAACTCTGCTTCCAAGTGATGGTGTTAAGAGAATGAGCCTTTGGGAGGTGACTGTGTTCACCAGAATGGGGTTAGCATCCTTGTGAATAATAGAGGCCCTGGAGTGATCCTTTCCTCTTTCCATCCTGGGGTTGGGGTGGGGCACATAATGAGAAAAAAATAACTCTGAACCAGGCAGCAGCTCTCACCAGACACTGGATTTTCCAGCATCTTGATCTTAGGTTTCCCAATCTACGTGATGACTAGCAACGCAATAATAACACATTCATGTTGCTTAAAAGCCACCCGCTCTGTGGCATTTGGGATAGCAGCCTCAGTAGACTAGAACCAAAAAATGGGTGCCTGGCGGTGGGGTTGATGTTGTGTCAAATACCTAAAGCTATGGAAGCAGCCTGGGGATTTAGCAGTGGGTAAGAAAAGGAAGAAGGGTTTTGAGCACTTGCCAGCCAAAGCTCACACAGCCATGGAAATATCATAAAGCACAATCATAAAGAGGGCTCAGAGAAGAGGCGAGCTCTAGAGGAAATGTCAATATTCCCAGAGAATAGCTAAGTGGTCATGGAGAGAATGTTTTGAGAAATGTGCGCAGCAAGGGCCATTCTGCTAAGGCCTTAGGAATAAGGAACGTGCCCGTGGACACCAGGGGAAATGCAATTCTTGTGGTAAAATGGCAAAGGACTTGACTGAATTGTATTCTTGCCTTCGTGTTTTGTAGAAGGTAGAACTTATAAGCTATGAAATAGCATGTTTGGCTGAAGAAATGTCTAAGCAAAGTATTGAAGTCACGGCTTGAATTCTCTTGAATGGCTGTGATAGAATGTGAGATGAGAGAAATGATTTAAAGATGGAATTTCTAATCAAAAGGGAAGCAGGACTTGAGGATTCAGCCTGGGTTGTGAAAGAATAAAATAAGAAAGCAGGTCAAAAGAAAACACCCAGGGTGTGACCAAGTGTCCACTCCATGAGAAGAATAGACACTATACAGGTGTTACTTGTCGCAGCCACTGAGGAATGACCTTGAAGGTATTGTGGAGGTCATTGGAACCTGTTTCTCCTATCACAGGCTCAGAGAATCAGGCCTGTAAGCAGAACAGCTTCAAAGGAAGGGCCGCAGATAACTAAGGGGAGCAATGGTTACTGCCCAGGACCACCCTCCACATCCCTTGGCTCCAGCAGGCCCAGGAGTGGTATCGACATGGTGGCTACCACTCTGGCAAGCACCTATGTGGTGCCATCTCTGCCAGTGCACAGAGGATGGGAACCACGCACCTAAAGCCACCAGCAAGGCCACGGAGTAAGACCACCCAGAGTCCACAGGACCCAGTCTGTGGGAGACAGGGCACCAAGCCAGAGAGAGCTTTAAGATTTACCTTTGTTTACCCTGCATGGGGTTCAGACTTCCTTGGGACCTGCGACCTTTTTCTTTCCTATTTATCGCTCTTGGAATGAAAACAGCCATCCTGTGCCTGTTCCACCATAGAATTTTGGAAGCAAGTAATGTTTGATTTCACAAGTTCACAGCTGGAGAGCAATTTGCCTCAGGATGAATCATACCTTGAGTCTCATCCATATCTGATTTAGATGGTATTTAGATGTGACTCTGGGTTTCAGACTTTGGAGTCAAAGCTGGGATGAGTTAAGATTTATGGGATGGAATAAATGGCTTTGCATATGAGAGGGATGTGAGTTGGAGCGGAGGTTGGAATGGAATGCTAAGGCCTGATGCTCGTTTCCAATCCCAAATCTAAACCCCCAAACCATGGTTTTACGAGGTGGAGCTTTGGGGGGAAGTGACTAGGTAACGGGGACCAAAGACAGTGTGTTGTAGGAATTTTGATCGCACTCTGAGACTGTTAAATAAAGTTTACCTTGAATCAGGGGCAAAACTAGCGGCTGGCTGACTGCAATTGGCCACAGAGAAGCCAGCAATTCGGACAGAGAAGATGCACTGGAAGGAAAGGGAGGGGACTTGAGTTTGGCTTATCCTTTTGGTTTTGGGATAAGTGAAGAGACACATCTCTTGTTGGGTCTCTGGCCATAAAGCTAGGTCAGCTGGTTGCTTCTCAGCTTCTCTGATCTACCAGGTTTTCCCCCCAACATCTGACTTCCAAGTCTTTGTTGGTAAACCGAACAATAGAGACTTAGTTTAAGCCTTCATATCTCAGCCTCAACAAAGCAGGACTGAGGGACCGGAAGGACCTCCAGACTGAGGCCTGAGTGGCCGGTGGGGCGTTGACCGAAGGGGCCACAGACGATAATTAAAGTATCGGTAGATTCATGTGCAGCCACTAAGCTGACAGAAAATATCAGTAGTGAGTTTATAAGGAGAAAGAGAGGATACCAAAGGGGCTGAGGAGATGGCTCAGTTGGTAAAGTGCTGGCTGCACACGCAAGAGGACCTGAGTTCAATCCCCAGAACCCACATAAAAAAGACAGGTGTTGGGGCTGGAGAGATGGCTCAGAGGTTAAGAACACTGGCTGCTCTGCCAAAGGTCCAGAGTTCAATTCCCAGCAACCACATGGTGGCTGAAAACCATCTGTAATGAGATCTGGTGCCCTCTTCTGGCCTACAGTCATACATGCTGTGCTCATAATAAATAAATAATCTTAAAAAAAAAAAAAAAAGACAGGTGTGGTGGTTCATGCTGGCAGTCCCAGCACTAGGGAGGCAGAGACAGGCAGATCCCTGAAGCTCACTGGCCAGCCAGCCTAGACTAACCATTGAGCTCCCAGCCAAGGGAAGATCTGTCTCAAAAATCAAAGTGGATGACACCTGAGCAACAATACCTCACCTGAGGTTTTCCTCTGGCCTCCATACTCACATGTGTGTGCACATACACCATGTGTACCTACATGCACACATGTACACATGCACCTGCATGTACACAAACTTGCACCTACATGCACACACCTGTGTACCTACATGCACACGTGGACACATGCACCTGCATGCACACATGCACATACATCTGCATGCACACACACACTTGCACCTACATGCACACACATGTGCACTTGCACGCACACAGACACATAAATAAACAAATAAATAGATCACCACGTGGAGAGAACTTGCAGAGACTTAGAAGTGGGGTTTGGAACAAACTCCCTGGAGGAGGTGACTGCTAACCAGAAAATACAAATAAGTAGGACTTGTCCATGAGAACTTTTGGGAACAAGCAGTGTTCTAAGCAAAGGGAACAACCCAGTTGGCAAAGACTAACCTCGGACTTTTGAAGATCTGACAAACCACTGTTGAGAGATACAGAGGATTGACCAGCAAGAACTCGCCTGGGAAAGATCTAGTCTGGAGGTCTCAAACTGGAATGAGCATTAGCCACCAAAGAAGACAGGACACTCCTCACCTCCAGGATTTCTGGTGCTCCACAGGTGCCAAGCCTGAGAATTTATATTTCTAGTGGCTTTCAGGTGATGCCCATCAATAGCTCAAAGCCACATTGCTCTAGACCACATTAAGTGGTGAAAATCTTTCCCTATGATGGGGGCGGGTGGTAGTATGTGTGTGTGTGTGTGTGTGTGTGTGTGTGTGTGTGTGTGTGTGTGTGTGTGTGTGTATCCACACTGTTATGAATTTGCATGCATGGAGGATTCCCAGCTGGCCAGGCCAGGGTATCCCACTCATGCAGGGAGCCCTGCTGGCATGCTGGGCAGATGCAGCAGCAGGCTGGCGGGCAACCCATGCCATGAGGGAATGGTGATGGGGCACCAGGTGGACATTCACAACCCAGAGACTGCATCTGCATGGAAATAAGTTTATTATAATCGAGAGAGAAAGAGAAAGAAGAGAGAAAGAGAGAGAGGAAGAGAGGGGGGGTCGAGGGTGCACACCTTGTGAGAGGAAAAGCAGAAGAGAGACAGGAAGGGGAGGAGTTTTTCCTTAAATGAGGCTTTTACATCAGGACACAGGGCAGCGCCAAGGGGCCGGTCAGAATACTAACATTGGTTTCTAAGGGGTGGGTCAGAATATTAACACACATCTCCTGTGGTTCCCGGCTCAAGTCACAAATAGGCTCTCAGGTTCTAAAAGCTTTCTGTGTACTTCTGGAGCTGGCCTTCCCTTGGGAGGGAATTGTCCCTAGGCCTCTTGCATTTGTGCAGCCTGCTAATTAATTGTTGGGAACTGTCTCCTCAAGGATGTTTGTACAGCCAACAGCCTTGGGAGACAGGGATGGCGTCTCTCCAAAGCAAAGGCGAAGAAGCAAAGTGCCTAGTGTTAAAAACCACATCTCTCTCTGGGGCAAGGGGCAAAAGTCAGGCCAGGTTTCTTCCCCTCAGAGGAGATTTAGGTTCCCTGATGTTTCCTCCAGGAGCACACCCCACCACGTGGGCACCTTTCATGCCCCTGTCTCCTAATCATCTTCCAGTCCCACTGTTGGAAGTGGTGCAGGGGAACCATTTTAACCTTACCCCTCTGGCTGCTTCCTTTGCTGCGTAATAACGTGCTTTGTCTCTGACCCAGGAGGCCCATGCATTCTGGCAGCATGCAGGAAATTATGGCAGGCTACTCTGTCAGCTTGCGAGTCAGGTAAGACACAAAACTCCTAACAGCTGTTCCCAGGCTTTCACTCTTGTTACATTATTCTATTTCCCTAAGTGGCCTGTCCTCAAAGCTCCTTTATTCACAAGTTGACATCGCTACAACTGCAGCAGAGTCCCCTGTGATACCCCGGAAATTAATGTAATATTTGCATCCAGGCTCTGCATTCACCTGCAGGAGGATTCTCTCGCCTCTGTTCCCTCTTCCCAGGCGTCAGTATGAGAAGGCATCGTTCTCGTGACCCCACTTGGCCCTGGACTTCTTGCCGTATTGGATCTTCCTAACCTCACTTTCCTTTCTTCTGCCAATGGGGAAACTGAGGTACAGGGATGCTGACTCAGCAGGGTCACCCCCAGGGTCTGGGCCCTTTTCACAGAGGCACAGTTGCAGCTCAGTGCTGTGTTTTCATGTCAGCCTGAGCCGAGCGAGTGAGCGAGCATGGTTTGATAGGTAAGGCTGGATGAAAGATGAAAAAGGGAGCCTGCAAAGCTAAAGAGAAATGGGAGCGGACTACATTAGCATTCGTTCTGGAGAGCAGCCCATACGTTGAAACCTTTCCGGGCTCAGCTCTCACCTAAGGCAGGAAGAAAGAGGTTCATCATTCACCCTTAAGTGGGGGGTGGGATTTCAGGTAGCAGGTTTTCTCTTTTAACTGTCTAGGTAGGAGAAAGGCTACCCAGGTGGTGGAAGTGGGGGAAGGGGGAGGTGGGGGGGGGGGAGGCTGCTGGCTCGCTCCAGGCAGCCGGGTTTGTTTTTGAATTGTAGATTGCTGGGTTTGATTGGAAAGTCAGAAGTCTAGCCAGGCCCCCTGCAGACCTATTTATGTGGAACTGGTCTCTTCTCACAGACCAAACAAACATCAGAGGCTACCCAGCCGGCCTGACAAGCCCTCTGTGTTATCAAAGCAGGTGCCCATGTCAAGCTGAACCGGAGCCATTGGAGAGAGCAGGAGGACCCTAAAGAGCAGTCCCCTCCCCCACCCCCACTAGCCCCACCAGCCCAGGGCGCTCTCAGAATTCCCCTTTCCTCTTCCAGCCCCATGAAACTTTTAGTATCTGCCTCTTCCCTTCAGCTCCTGGTAAGTCCCATCTCCTCTACCACTTCCATTTCATCTCTAACTGATCTAATATTAATGTTCTCGTCATTACAGCGTTCGCAGGCAAAGAACGCGTTTTGTCCACAGAGAGAGGGAGTCGAGAAATTAATATAATATTTGTTCAGGATTGATTTCAAGCCGTAATCCTTGCTGCCAGAGAGACCCATCTGTTTAAAACTATCAGACACTAATTACCCAGCTCGTGAACACAATAGCAGGATTGAGGAGCTGGGTCCTGATGCTCCCACACACACACTTGCAATTTAGCATTGTTATTTATTACAGGGGGGAAAATCTCCCAGTGAGGAAGAAGACGGATCTCCCATCCTCTTGACTGGCAGGGGCTCCCAGAGGACTTGAGCACAGCAGGGAAGAGGTCTCTGAATTTCATGATCAAAGAATATGAGGAATTGCATTCATGTGGCTATAAAGGTTGAGCTCATTCCAAATGCTTTCTCTCTCCCCTCTCTGACTCAGTCCAGACTCCCCACCAAATCTGCTCTTTGGTGATACTTAATAAAGATACAGTCATCCTTGGGGGGAAACAGTTGAAAGCGCTGATTCATTCTCCCGCGGTGTCTTTCCTTCATCTTCCCCGAGTAATCAGATGTCAGGCCTGGACTGTGCAGTCTCTTTTCTGCCTCTGTTCTCACAACTGACTCCCCTCCTTTCTGTTCAAACCTGATACCCAAATGTTTGGACAACGTTCCAAGCTATTGATGTCCACTTCCGGTCTCTGTTCCTCTGTAATGTCTATTCTGTT